ATAACTATGTGTTGACCAAGTGAATTAACAATCAGTTAAAGAATGGGGTTCCATTAGCCTCACAAAGGAACCGGTAGGCGTTCAGAGCTGGAAGAATGGTCTCTGTTTGGGGCTGGCATGGATTCATCTGTCTCTGGTTCTGCAAATGTGCTCTGAGTGCTCTTTGTTCTTGCCCCACACGCATCTGTATCAGGATGTCATTGCCTTGTTCAGGATTCACATTACTATTTGCAGAAATTGGGCTCTGTCTAGGCCTTAGCCAGAACGCCCACAGAATAGTCTCCCTGCCTGTGGAGTTAGAGGGATTGTGCCCCACGGTGGGAACATCTGCTTATGTGGTTTCCGTGTTTTCTCTGGGCAGCTTCTCCCCTTTGTTTGAGAGGTGCTGGCACCTGGCTCATCTCTGTTTTGATCTGCACATTGTTCCCTGCCTGTATACCCCATGGATAATGGAGGTGTCCCCCCTCCACTTGGTGGGAAGAATAAACTGCTGAGTGGGATTTGAGCCAAAAATGGATTTCCCAACAGGTAGAAACATGTCCCTCATCATGCTGCTGCTGAAACCCCTCTGGCAGGAGTGTCTCTGGCAGGAGGCTGTTCAACACTTTCTGGTTGAGAATATAGCTTTTAATTCAGTGGGGCAAATCACTTCCCTGAAATATTTTGGGAGGAGTTCAACATAGAAGATCTGTCTTTATGCGTTGTTTTAGAAGACCACATAAATTGTCTTTAAAACTTTTGTTGTTTCTTAATTATAGTACTTATTGAAAAGTCTTCTCCCCCCTTGATTGCTATAGTTGTGTAACTGAAGTTATCTGTGGCTCTAGATAGGCGGAAGATCAATATTTTGTACCCAATAGTTTGCCCATTTCTTACTGAAGTTTCCCTGAAGCCAAAGGAGGCTGTTATTGCAGTTCAAGGTGTTTTCAAACCACCTATATTTGTGTACTCACTTCTTGGAGTGCAGTGCACACATAAAAGTCTCCTAAATGATACATAAATTCTCCTTTTCTACATGAAAGCTTACTGTCCCTTCAACTACACTTTGGAGTTTGGAGGCTTAAATAAAATCCTCTTCAGATTATTGTTAATGGTGTGCCCGATTCTGCAGCAGCTGTTACTTTTGAACAATATGATGCTTCTCCTCCCCCAAGAGAAGTTGAAACTGCCTCTTTTGCAGCACTTTCAACCTTTGTAGACTCAGGGAGCATAAAATAGACTGAGAAATGCACACAAGGCTCCTGTTTGGGAATTCAGTGCACAGGTTAAAAACTATTGAGTTTACATTGACTTTCATAGCAACAGTTTAATTTGGAGAAAATCTACCTCAAATGGCTAAAAGTATTTATGTGGAAAATTTTCCAAATGATTGACTTTACTGTGTTGCTATTTTCTTTCCCCATGAATATGTGAGTATTTGGATTTCTCCCAACAGTCTTTCTGTACCACTTCTCTTTAGGCAAATAAATTTTTCTAGCCAGAGTAGAAGAAAGAAGCACCAAGAGTTTTGCCCTTTTAAGCAAGGTATTGTTTGAGTTTAAGCCATAGCATCTGTAAAAATGAAGAATCAGTGTGTTTCCTGTGTCTTTAAGTTTTTCCATGCAAATTTTTAAGGTCATCAGATTAACCTTGACTTTCACTTGTGGAGCCAGCGTAACTATGGCCAGTTCTGTGCTTTCTCCAACCTGGCCTGTATTTCTGCAGCTAACCAGCATCAGTCTTACTGAAGGGTCAGCTCTACTACCTCTCTTACTTCCTTATCCCCATTCCTTATCCTCACCCACCTCTCTGCTGGCTTCTCTTGCCAAGCTCACCAATGATCACCTCTTATTTAAGCAATACTTATTTTGGACTGCAATTGAGCTTTCTGTAACATTTGACATTGTTAACCCCATTTTCCTTAACTTCTGAGGGTCATTCCATTTCCATTAGTAGTTTTCTCTTCTTCTATCCCTTTCTTCAGTGTTGTTTCCTTGGAAATCAGCTGTAGACCTACTTGACTTCTGACCTCACCTTCTTATCCTGGATGAGCCCCAGCCCCCATGGCCCCAGTTCTATGCTGTTCATGAAGATTCCCATCCATTTCTCCAGTTCAGCTCTGAAAAAACAGTTCTGCATCCAAACAATCTCGTTTCTTCTCTTCCCTGTCTCTCTTTTAAATTTCCAATCTTAGCAAGGGACGCCATTATTCACTGTTTAAGATGGAAAACTTACAATCTTCCTGTCACTTTCCCTTTCTATAACCTGGCCCCTCTTTCCTTGGTTGAGTTTTTGGCTGCTCTCATCTTGCATTGTTCATATTTGGTTTGCGAATTTTTTCCAGTTCCTCAAACATCCCATGCTCTTTCACCTTTGAACTTTCACATGACACTTTATTCTGCCTGTGCATTCTTTCTGTTTTCTCCCCTATGGTGAATTCATGCTCCCTTTTCAAGTCTCAAATTCAGAGCACTTCTCAGATACTCTCCTCTGGGTGTTCCTAAGTCTGGCAAAGGTTTGTTTCCTGATGGCCTCTGCCCCATTGTCCCGTCAAAGCATAATTGTCTGGGTCTTTGTACTCCTGTTATTAGATTGTCAGTTCTCCCAGGACAGGAGCTCATCACCTGTGTTGACCGTGATGCTACAAGTGCCTAGCGCAGTGCTTGATTCATAGCTTGTGCTCAGCTCAGTAAATATCTGTTAAATGAACAAATGTGAGTCAGCCTTCTCTATGACACAGGTATATTTAATCTCATTTGCAGTTTTTTCCTCACTAGTCAAGCTCCCCTGGAAGGAACAGTTATTACTTTTCCACAAAGCAGAGAAAAACTTTGTTGCAGACAAAGCAACCTATATATCCCACAGGAAGAAGAACTTTCCAAGGGTTTGAAGAATTAGCATATGGTAATTGCCAAGTCCCAGGGTTTCTTTTAATTGAACCCTCACAGTAGTTCACTTAAGCTTGTACTCAGTGCTTAAATTGAGTAGAACCTCATTAGGAAGGTTGTATCATGCCTTAGTGAAAATGAGAGAGAGAGTTTTTGGTGACATGGAAACATGGGAGAAAGGGAACATTCTGGTCTGTGAGTCCTTTAATCCATATGTCTCAATGGTACTGACTCCTGATACTGGAGCAGATCTGGAAGATGGCCGTGACCCTCAAAGGAGATTAGCGTTTTCCTTCTAAATCACATGCTAGATTTTGTGTATCACAAGGGTCTACCACTTGCTTTCTTTCTGTCCTCTCCCTGTTCTTCTCCTTCCATGCCAGCCTCATGAGTAACCAGTTTTCAAAAAGTATCCCTCCCTGAGACCATATCCAAAGGAAACCAAGTGACTGTCAGGCTCAGACCACCAGGACTTCTCTACACCTGTCTACCACACATCCTTCACTCAGTCTATTCTTGCACCAGTGCCTTTTGGTGACAAGGGTGAGAAAAGCCATGTGCCCACTCTCAGAAACCCTGTACTTGCCTCTTGCCTTATCGCTCCTTGCATCTCTAAATCCTAATCCTCCAGACCCAGCTCAGATGCTGCTTCCTCCATGAAGCTTTTACTAAGACCTATCAGTTCTTCCCACAACTCCACAGATGCATCCCACCTTTCTCAAATTCCCAGTGGACCTTACTTGCACCTCTTTTAAGGCACTGTATGTGTACATGCCTAAGGCATGTCTCTATGTAAGTTTCTTAGGGGCAGAATCTTTTTTTCTCAGCATACCCACACTATCTTGCACAGGATTTGGCACAGTAGGTATTCAGTAATCAGTTAAGGGGGAGGAGAAATCAAAGACGAGAGCAGGACAACATAGAGGTTAATTGTAGGGGGCAGCCAGGCAGGGGGTGCAGGTAACGGGCTAGACTTGGGCACTGAGACCAGTCATACTAGATTTGAGTTCTGGCTCTGCCACTCACTGAACATGAGACTTTGGGTAAGTTAACAACACTTATCTATGCCTCCATTTCTTTATCTATAAAATAAGATGAAAAATGGTATTCCAACATATGGTTGTTGTGAAACCTAAATAAGCTAAAACAAAGCACTTAGCATAAGAACTGCAGTGAAGCCTCAGAAAATGTCTAAAACTAGATTATGAAGAGTCTCGTGCAGTTACCTCCATGGAAAATGTAGGTAGGCTAAAGGCAAAGGACACTTGTGACTGATGTCACAAAGAATGTTAAACCTAATCTGTTCAAACAGCAGCAATGGCCTAATAGTTCTGAGAACTCAGGTGCCTGTTTTTTTTTAAAAAGATGAATCCCATCTCTATACCTCAATAAAAGAAAAGTTTGAGCAAGAAGATGGCAAAGGAGGCTGCCTTAAAACAAATGAGCTTGTGGTATGTATTAATCTGACACTTAAATATGCCCTGTTCTAATGCCTGATGTTTTGAGGGGGGATGGAGGTCTAATGCTAAGGGAAAGTCATGTTTTTGCTGCCATCTACAGATGTCAAAGTGCAATTTTTAAAGTTTCTTAGGCACACACACCCACTCAGAAAGGGAATTCTTGACAAAATGAGTGACAATATATATAAAGTTTAGTTCAAGTTCTAGTAAGCAAAATAATTCAGGCATATTTTTATAGCAATTTATTCTCCTTTGCTTTCTAAAAATATGTATACTTAATAAGTAATACAGCCTTTATAACTACTCAAATTGTGTTAAAACTTGTCATCAGAAGACTGCTGTAATAACACAGGAGCGGGCCAATCATCAATCAGGGCAGTTTAACTGCAGCTGTGGCAGCAAAAAGTTTAAAAGTTTAAATGGTTTCAGCGAGGAATGAGATGAACTGGATTTTACCCCAGGCTTTCTTGCATTTCTTGCATGTTATTAGAATTACTGCACATTGCACACACTTGTCTTTTATTGTTTGGAAATGCAAAATCAAAAACAAGTAAAACCAGAAAAGGAGAGTTGTGTCACCTCTGAGATGTATCTATACCTTATTCTCTCTTATCCATATAATCCACAAGGTAATTGTGATGTGGTGCCAACTCTCCTGTGTGCTATTTTAAAGGGTTAAATATAGACAAGAACTGTTGGAAAAACGTTTGATGGAAAAGAAAGAAGTGGCCCTTCAAGAAGCACATGAAGAAGAAGAGAGAGAGAGGCGACTAGAAGCCCTTCGGAAACAGGTGTTTTTAATTTGGAAACTTTCATGGGTGTTTTTTTTTTAAAAGTGTCTGAGTGGTCTTAATAACATTAGTACTGGTACTTAGTTCATGATCTCTAATATATAAAATGTAACTTTTACAAATTGGGACGCTGAACTTTATTCCTGGGAGCAATTAGACTTATGTTGAACCATTTCTAGTTTCTCTCTGTATATTAAAAGAACTTTTTCAGCACTTTTAGCAAAGCTTTCTCATATTTAAATGCATCTGCATCACCTCTAGGTTATTAGCTGAATACTATCCATTTGCAATAGTGAAACCCTTCACCTAATGAAAGGATCTTATTGTTCTCAAAAAATGTGGTAGAGCAAGATGATCAACTTTGGAACAGAAACCTCTGCTCAGAAGAATCCCACAGTTAACAATCATGTTAAAAACCATGTTTTTAAAATACACTTTTTGTGGAGAAACAAAAACTTACTATCTAGTAAAGATAGCAAAAGTAGATGGAAGTAGACAGTAAATGGCAAAAGCAGGAGTTTAAGAACTTGGGAAATGCTATGACATCATTTATTGGAAATTTTTCAAAACTTTGAACTCAAGGTGATTGGTGGGACCACAAGCTCTAAAATCTCAGCAGTAGGAAAGACTGTCTGGTTTCCCTTCTATGTGAGCGGAGGTCCATGCAGGTCCGTGCAGCATCATGGATGAGAACTTGATCTTGGATGAGCTTCAAACCTAAGACAAACTGGGTTGGTACCCACTAGCAGAGGAAGCCTAGGTCATTTATTTAACCTTCCTTGGCTCCATTTTCCTCATTTGGAAAATGGAAATAATAATAATAGTACCTGCTTTATATGTTTGTAGTACTGTAAGTTCAAATCTGTAAGCATTTAGTTTGTAAAGCCCTCTTTTAAATACTCTTCAGTGTCACATAGTATTTTGTTTGATACATGTTTTAACTCCTTTGTAGTTCTCTAGGACTGGCCTGGTTTTAATATTGTTTCTGGTGTGGCAGAAACAATATTAGGTTTCTTCCAATCACTCAGCAAGTAAATGTCAGATGGGATTCAAACCACAGAGGTCTATTAAAGTGAGAGTACAGATCCAGTGTAAACGCAGACAACTCTTAGGTCATTATCTTCTTCAATAAATTAGATTGTAGAGATAAATTCAAAGCATGGGAATTAAGTACTGGCCATCCTAGACCTGGCAAAATTCAAATTATCCAATCATTAGTGAATAATTATATACCACAGCCTTTCAGGAACAAGACTTAATGACTGTAAGGAAATGTGGGCCCCAAAATGACCACGTGGAGAGCAGTGATCTGGCCAAGAGATTCTTTATTGCCGGGTGGGAGAGGGAGAGAGCAGAGAGCCAAGAGAGAGAGGGAGAGAGGGGCAGGGGCTTAAATACCCTTCAGTGGGACTCAGCATGATCTGATTGGTTAGGATCTTATGGTTCATGCTAATTGGAGGTTGGGGCAGAAGGAGGATTCAAGCTAGACTTGAGGCAGGACTGTGACCCTGGAAAACAGGAGCTTAAGGGTGCAGTAAGAACTGAAACCTATTGGCGCCATTATTGCCAACAATGACACTATAACTGAAGACATTCTTTTTCAAAATATAACTTTGATAACTACAGAGTCTATATGACTAGAATTCCTTCCATCCATGAGTCCTTTGAAAATATCTGTGCCCATTATCAGTGTTTAGAATTATAGTAGAAGATATTTTAGCCAGAAAACCTACAATAATTAGATATGTTTAATCTCCCCAGTTATTTCATTACAGTTTCTAAATGGCATTAAAAATGCCATTTACTTCATGCTAATTTTTGACTTGTGGAATTAAGAGGCAGGTGTTACTAATGGTGCATATAATTTACAAAATTAGTGACTTCATTAATGCAGGTTTGAATTATCATGCAGGATAAAGGCATTTGTGTTAAAATGACTCTGCAGTTTTGCAGTAGAAGGGGGAATAGTGATTTATTGCAGTCCCTGGAAATCTATTTGCCTGATACACTGGAAATTTATCCATCTTACCTAGCAATGCCAACACCCTTGAATTTACTGTGAACGATATGCGCTAGATTCAGCTTACTCATATTAAACTTTCAGGAACCTTCATGGGGTTTTTACCACAGCCATAGATTGCTAGCAGTTAAAATGATTTTTTAAACTTTTTACACTCAAGATATTTGAATATGTAGGTTTTCTATATGTAGATTCCCTATGACTTTTATCAGAAAAATAGATTTTATCAGAAATCAGTCATAATTGTGATTACTAAATCATTAGTAGTTTACTTATTTTATCTTTTTTTTTTTTTCAAATCAAGGTCTGAGAGCATGCTAGGCAAATGCTGTGTCACTGCACTATATACCCAGCTCTACTCATTCGCAAATAGTCATATACCATGGCCTTTCACAATTTTGTTTGATATGTTTTAACTCCTTTGTAGTTCTCTAGGGTTGGCCTGGTTTTAATATTGTTTCTGCCCTTTCCTTTTAGGTTTTATCTTTAACAAAAATTTCTTTAGTGATCATTAAACATTTATAATTTTGCCCGGAAGTATTTAGCTTGTACCTTGTTCCAAGTAGCCATACTTTCTCTTTTTTCAGGTCGCTGTTGCTGCTCAATTTGATCCTGTTAGAATGATGTCAGATACAATGGCATGGAAAGCTAGGATGGGCATTGACTCTGAGCAAGAATTTATTCTTCAAAAGCCACTCTTTACATTGAATACGTACAATGAGCAGCAGGTAATTATGGGAACTAACATGATTGATGCAAAAACAGTGGTGAGGATAGGAAGAACTGTGTGTGTTGGGTTTTAAATTGTTTAGTTTTTTTCTTTCTTCATTTATTCATATGTGCATACATTGTTTGGGCCGTTTCTTTCCCCCATCACCCCCCTCGCTTCCAGGCAGAACCTGTTCTGCCCTTTTCTCCAATTTTGTTGACGAGTAGACATAAGTAATAATAAGAAAGATAAAATGTTTTTACTAGTTGAGCTAAGGATAGATATACAGAGAAATTAATTAAATTAATCAATTAAATTGTTTTTAATATTTACATTTAAATATCATGTATTTGCATAATTTTTACTTCTAAATGAGAGCACATAATTACTGCTTAACTCTTAATATTATAAAATGGTTAATAAGTGACCATGGAACAAAACAGTTCACCTGAAAATGTTATGAATCTGTCACTGGAAATTATTTTTAAGTAAAAAATTAACTTAATAAAGTTCTCTTCATAAGTTGTGTTAATATTGTTTTATAGTTTAAGTATTTCTCTGTTGTATTAAGAATTTATATTTAAACCCATAATATAAATCCTGTTAAATAAGCAACTAGCAAGACAAAGCAGAGGAAAGCTTTCAGAAATTATAATGGATAGAAGATATTACATTAGAGATAATAATAAAATCAAACATTTTCTGTGGAAAAACCATTGAGGGGTTGTTTAATTATTTCTAGAACTTAGAATTCATTTTAGTCTGTGTCTAGAACTGAGAAGAGATTTTTAAAAGATCTTTTAAATGGATGGAATGAAGGGATGGAGATGGGGGAGAGTATGTATGAATAAAAGGATCTCACTGAAATTAAGGGAGAAAGTAGTAATTTTTCAAATCTAAAAAGAGAAGCTAAAACTTATTTAATTATTTAAAAATCATGAAATTTATCCATTGCCAAACTGTTACATGCTTGTGTCAAGGGTCCTTGCTTTCACAGGCTAGAGAACTGGTTCATGAGGCAGCTGAATGATAAGCCAGTATATAAAGTAGGATTTATTAGCAAGAAAGGAAAGGCTACAGGTAAGGTACTGCAGCGAAGCCCAGAAGACAGTAGCTCACTGCTCAGGTGAAGGCTGGGGTTTTTATGGACGTTCTAACTCTGGGTTAGGTGGGTTTTTCTCATTGACCATGGATTCGCAGGCTTTCTCAGGTGAACTGGCTTGGTTTGCACCTTTATTGGAGGAGAGGAAACAATTTTGACAGCATTTTGCTCATCAGCCCTGTGGTAGATCTGTATCTCTTCTTTAGTATACAGGAATGCAGGCCTCCATCTCCTCAGGATGCAGGAATGATATTGCTCTCCATGGGGGATGGGACACTCACTCATCTGCCTTAGGTCTCCAGACTCAACAAATCACCCCTCTGAGACAAGTACCCAACTGCTGTTGGGGAGAGGGGCGATGACTCATCTAGCTACTTCCTGCTGACAATGGGGCAGTGGGGGGATAGGGGAGAGGGTACTTGTCTCAGGGGTTGACCTGTGTAGTTTCTAGGGGTCCACCAGTAGAATGGGATGGAGGGCTCATGCCTAGGCAGAGGTGAGTATTTCTTGACTAAAAGCTGGAGTTTTATCTGTTGGACCTGTTCAGACATAAATCTGGAGAGAGGATTTATTATACAAGACCCAAATAGGAATATTAGAAAGAGCATAAAAAGGTGTCTGGCAAGGGCTACATATCCAGGGATCCAGATTCTGCAAAACTCTGTAACTCCCAAGAAAGCTCTAAGCTGCTTTATGGTATAGGTGAGCGGGAAACGGAGGATTGAGTTGATTCCTCATGACTCAGGGAGTGAGTCTGTCCCTTTAAGAGCACACCTAAGTAGGTGACCTGTGGGAGGCATAATTGAGCCTTCTCCTTAGAGACTCTGTATCCCCTGGAGGCCAGCAAGTTTTAAAAAGGACTCAGTTGCCCTGCAGATGAGGGGCTCTGTGACTCTGCACAGAAGCCACATCAACATATTGAAGAAGGGTAGCCTCTGGGTAGTGCCAACCTAATAAGTCTCTGATTAGGGCCTGTCCAAAAAGATGAGGGCTGTCTTTAAACCCTTGTGGTAAAACTGTCCAAGTTAGTTGCTTTAAGGGTTTGTGGGATCTTCAAAGGCAAACGTTCTGACTGTCAGGATGCAGGTTAAATGTAACACTTTTGGATAAAAGAGAACTTTAGCTCATTATTTTACATAAATTGACACTTTTAACATTGTAAAGTATAGACACAACACTGTTATAAGGTGTTCGTTTAAGACACATGAGCAAATACATAAGTGAACTCTGATTTAGTAGTACTTAAAGCTTGACAAGATCAACAGAAAACACAAGTAATTTTTTGATAAAATCTTTCCCTATAACAGTTTTTTTTGTAGATGTTACTCAGAGCAGAACAATATTAAGATAGCCTTGTTATTTTATAGACAGAGAATTTGATTTTAGTTTGACATGACCCTAAAAATCTTTTAGGAAACTCTTAGATTATAGTCAACTTTAATTTTATCACATACTGAAGCTTTTTATTATACGCTTTTAAAACTTACTCAGACCTTCATATAACATTTTGAACCCTTTGATGGTTTGTCCTTATCCCTCTTCTCCATATTTGGCCAATAGAGTGTAGGGATTGGGAACAACTGGGTGGAGAGGAATGGCTGCTTCATCAATGAGCTGGAGGTCTTGAGCCAATCTCCATTTGTTTGGCCCCTTGAGGACAGCAAGAATAGGAGTATTATAGGGGCTGGAGCAACTAATTAGCAGCCCGTGGTTTTTTTGTTTTTGTGTTTTTCCTGAAGGAGGGGGCAGTAGAGATAGCTGTCTGGGGGGGAAGAGAATTTGAGCTTTTAGTTGAGATAGTAAATTCCATCCCAGCAGAGGCACTGGAGTTTCAGGAACTATGAGGAAAGAATGACAGAAGTGGAGGTTTCCCCAAGAACAGGCCAGAGACCAGGTAAAATATTGCTCTAGGGGCTGGCCAGATATGCCCCAAACAATAAATTTGTCATTGGACTGGGGATCAGGAGAGAAAGGTAAGACAGAGAAATGGGCTCCATTGTCTAGCCTGAAAATGATGTTTTACTTTTCTGCCATTATGGCTACCCAAAGGCTCCTCAACATTGATGCCAAGAAGTGGAGCATGGACAGGAGGCTGGGACCCATCAATCCATAGGAGGTGGCACCTTGCCTTCCATCTGGAGACGGGAGCTCTTAGACCTCCAGTGGTCACCTTTGCAGAGAGGGCAGGGTCCTGGTTGGGAGCAGGGTTAACTCCCAGGCTGTTCCCCTCTGAGCATTCTCTGCACACCATGGTAGTAAGCTCAGGATGTAGGCCCCAGTCAGGTGAGACCCTCTCTGAGAGCTGCAATTAGGTCATGATGTCTCATATCTTTTTCTCTCCTTTTAGTAAGGTCCCGATTATAGTATACAGACATGGCTAGCTGTATTAGTTGACCCAATGATTTTTCTCTATCAGCCACAGACTTTGAGTTTTTCAGGAATATCTGGGGCTGATTATGTTAGAAATTTATATTTGAGGAGAACCTCTCCCACCCGTGACTCTGGGTCCTCTGTGGTATGCTTTCTGATAGCATCTTTAAGATGCTGTAGAAAGGTAAGGGAGTTTTCTTCAGGGCCTTGCTGTACTACAGTTACCTGGGAATAGTTTAGAGGTTTGACTTTAGTCCTTTTTAGCCCTTCCACTATGAGATGAATGAGGTGGCATCGACGCCATTTCATCTTCCTTACCATTTTTTTTAATTTAGTAATGCTGGGAAATTGAACCCAGGGCCTTGCATATGCTGGGCAGACACTCTCCCACTGAGCCCCAAATATTTTTTCCTTTGGCTGTACTGGGATTTGAACTCAGATCTTATGTCTGCAAAGTGGCACTTTACTGCTTGAGCCATACCACCAGCCCCTTTACCATTCTGATTTTCAGTGTGGATCTGTTAAGGGGACTGCCTGTGCCCCTGTAGGTAGGCACATTCATTCCCACATTTCCAGGTGCCACGGGTATTGGGGCTCATTGTAAATGGTAATCATCTCCAACCTGAGTGGCCTGGCCCAGAACCCATTGCTTTTCTAATGAGGAAAGAGTCTGGTCTCGTAGAAGCATAATATTCCTTCATGCCAATTCAAAGCCTCTTTATCACAGAGATAAAGGCTTGAATGTATTGGTCAGATGCATCAGTATAGCTGTCCAGATGTTTTTTAATTTCCCTTAGATCTGATAGCTGGAAAGGGACATGGACTTGCCCTCTTCCTACCATTGCCTGTTGAAGGGGGAAGCACCCATTAGGAGATTTTGAATATTAGGGTGGCTTAGAAGGTAGGGCAGAGGGTGGAGCAGTAGGGGTGGGGGACTTGTCATTGATAAGGGGTTTTTCTGGTCCTCCTTCCCCATGTTTATCCTGTGGCTTACAAAGAATGGCCAGCATTTGAGTACCTGGATGGTGACTATGGAGCCAATCTGGGTGGTCTCGGAGATAAAAGAAAATTTGTACAAGGGACCTCAGTTTCCTTTTCCTCCCTTTTACAGAAAAGGTCTAACTGGAGTATGGTATTGTAATTTAAGGAACCCTGTGAAGGTCACTTCTCTTGGTCACCCAAGGTATACTGAGGCCAGGCCTCAGTACAAAACTTACAACATTTCCTTTTAACGTTTTAATAGACAAGCCAGAAGACTGGAAGGGGCAGGTCCCATCTAGAAAAACAACAACAATAAACTGGGTCAGTTTCCTTCTTGTCAGCATCCTGACTGGGAATGACCTTACTAACGAGTCCAGGCATCCCTGTCTCCTGACTTTCCCCCTCATCCGTGGTCAGGACTGGGAAAGTGAACTGGTTGGGTTAGACCACCTGACCAACACAGTGAGAAGAGAAAAAAAAAAACCCAAACGCTAGGATCCTGCCTTTTAACTAACAGCCAGCAGCCTCTTTAATAAAAGCTACCTTTTTAACAAAGGAAAACATCATCTGCAAAGTTAGAGACGGGCATTCAGAGGGACCCCGGGGCAATAACAGTACCATAAGGGACGACTAGTGCTAATATTTGGAGGGAAAATTTATGCTGAGGCCAAAAGTATAGGAAATTTTAATGAGAAGCTTAGAGACCACAATAACACCCATTTTGCTATTCCCGGGACTATAACCTTGAGCTAACAGTTGGCTTACAAGGGCTGGGTCTGGTGGCCCGAGGCATGAGGTGGGACTGGGAGCAGGGCTGGTGCAAGGCGCCACCCCCACCCCCACCCCCACCCCCACCCCCACCACCACCACCACACACACACCTGGAACAAGCGACCCAGTCTGCCTAGGCCTGATCCTGCGGCCCATCGCCCCTCCCCCTCCTGCACGCATTTGTTATTCCTCTCATCCCTTTTGGGGGAGTGGCAGCAGGTGGCAGCCATCACCTTGTGTGGCTGGCGACCCAGGATGTGTGCTGGGTCCTCTCTATGGATTCTCTTAGCTATGACAGGTGATCCCGCTGTGCCCAGGGGCCAGCATCCCTGTGCACAGGTGCGCCTGTTTGCTTTCCCTCCTCCCCTTGTGGGGGTGGAGTTAGGGCGTGAGTGGCGGCTGCAGTTTTTTTTTTTTTTTGCAAGCCCCTCTGCCTCTGCAAGTGCCTAGCAGCTGATTTAAAGTTGCTTTGGACCGAAGAGGCTGACAAACTAGTGGGAATAACTTAAGTCATAAGGTACCATGCTACAAGTTTTTCATGGGAGGCCAGGGTCCCAGTAAGCCCAGGGAGGGAAGGCAGACAGAGACAAAGGACACATGGTGACACCAGGGAGGGAGAAGAAAAGGTGTCCTGACATCTTAGGTAAGGGAGGGGAAGGCAGAGCCTGGAGGCATGACACATACCTGAGGGATTAGCGATCACGTGTGCTTCTAGGTTGCTCCCACTGAGTGGTACTGGAACACTTTCAGCAACACAAAACCTCCACTCTAGGGTCACTGTCTGAGGCAGAAGGGGCGTTAGACAGGGGGAAAAGAGAAGCAGTCGTCAGGTTCCATAAACCAATCAGGACTCCCCCAATGTAGCATGAGGCATACCCGAATAAACCTCAGGCTTGGTCTTGAGCTCCCCAGAGCCAGAATCACCTTGAGGCCAGAGTTGGCAAGGAGCAGCTGGCTTGACACCATGATGGGAATGTCCCTTAGGAAGATAGGAAGAGACAGGCAGGGTGAGCAGTGCAAGGAAGTCTGCTTTTGGCTAGTCCTCAGCAGGGGGTTTCCCCCAGCAGGAGCATCCAGCAGGGTGCCAGACACTCAACAGTCGCACCTTAGGCATGACCCTGTTTGGCACTCAAGATATATCAACCTTGGTTCAGAGGAAAGGTCCCTTCGCGCGTTGCCAAAATGTTACATGCTGGTGTCAAGGGTCCTTGCCTTCACAGGCCAGAGAACTGGCTCGTGAGGCAGCTGAATGATGAGCCAGTATATAAAGTAGGATTTATTAGAGAGAAAGGAAAGGCTAAAGTACTGCAGTGGAGCCCAGAAGACGGCAGCTCACTGCTCAGGTGAAGGCTGGGGTTTTTATGGACGTTCTAACTCTGGGTTAGGTGGGTTTTTCCTCATTGGCCATGGATTCACAGGCTTTCTCAGGTGAACTGGTTTGGTTTGCACCTTTACTGGGGGAGAGGAAACAATCTTGAGAGCATTTTGCTCATCAGCCCTGTGGCAGATCTGTATCTCTCCTTTAGGATGCAGGAATGCAGGCCTCTAACTCCTCAGGATGCAGGAATGATATTGCTCTCCATGGGGGATGGGATACCCACTCAACTGCCTTAGGTCTCCAGACCCAACAAATTGAATCCATGGTGATGGAGAACAAGAAGTTGAGTATTTCATTCATTTACTACTTGAACACATATTTATAGAATATATACTATATATATTCCATATATATATATGGAGATGTAGCTCAGTGCTATATCCTGAACAAGACAGTCTAGTCCTGTCTGGAAGAAGTGAGTGGAGGACCTGGTTAGAAGAGAAAGTAGCATGTACATAAATAATGCCACGAGCATAAGAGCAACTCCACATTGGAGGTTAAGGGCCACTGAAGCAAAGGGAAGGGAAGGAATGCTTAAACCTGCCTGGGAAATTAGAGAACAGGTTGGGTGGGATGGGTTCTGAACTCTAACTTAGCCAAGGATTTTGAATGGCAAAAACAAAATTCACTCAAGATGACTTACAATAAAAACACAACACAACAAAACAAAAAAATAAGTTGGGGTGCATAGGGAGAGAGATTACTCATAAAGATTAATGGGTATCTCCAGATATCAACTTCCAAAGTGTGTGTGTGTGTGTGTGTGTGTGTGTGTGTAGTGGAGAGAAGGGAGCTAGGGCCTGAAGCAATTGAAGTCAGAAGATGGAAAGGTTTTCACAAAGCAGAAGAGGATAGGGTGAGGCCTTTCCTGGCATGTCTTCAGTGTGAGGTACATGGCCAGGGGTACCTGACAACAGCTGAGACGTGAGAATGGAAACATGGGTTAGGGTCAGACTGTGAAAACATAGTAAGCTCTTGCTGTAAGTCATTTGACTTTTATATTGTAAACAGACGTGAAACTTTAAAGCAGGTAAATTATATAATCAGATTTATGTTTTAGCTATGTGTCCTGAATGGAAAATTGGTGAGGGTGGAGATGGGGTGGGGTGAGATCCTCAAAAGGAGCTTAAAAGATGGCAGAGCCCTCACAGGAGCCGTGGTGAGGGAGTCATATATGGCTCTGGCTGAGATAGGGAGGAGATAAAGAAAGTAAGGGTGATTCTAAACTAGAAAGCAAGTAATATTAGGAAGAGCCTGCATTGTGGATTCTAATTCACATTCACTATTTATTGGCTGGGTGCACTTATGTAAACTATTAGTATCTTTATGTTTGTTTTTGTCATCTATAAAATAATTACTTTCAAGATCCTTATAAGGATTAGAAATAATAACTATCAACTGCCTAGAGTCTTGCCTGGTCCCTAGTAGTAATTCCATGAATTATACTCATTAAGTAGTACTGTCCTTAGTACTGTAAGAATGCAGAAGGAAAAACCAACCTAAGGAGGAGAAATTGCTTCGTTTATGTCATATTTAGAGTACAGATGTCTAGAAGACATTTGCAAGAAGCTGATTAGCTGCCTCTGGAGAGGAGAATTGGGAAGGCAGAAGTCTGGGTAGGAGGAAGTTCCTGCTTTGTATTTTCTACTCAAAAATAAAATAAGTGAAAAAAATTCAATCCCAAGCTGAAGAGAGGTAAATCTTGGGCATAATTTGAGAGTCAATAACACATAAATTGAATCTGAATCCTTGGGAGTGGGTAAGAATGAACAGGAAGAATACATTGAGGCAGATCTGAGTCTTAGGCTCCATTGATTGCTTCTCAGACAAATCTCTGTATTATTCTTGACCTCATACTCATTATTGCCCCTAGCCCTGTATCTGATCAATTGCCAAGTTCTACTGATTCTTCCTTTCACAGTGTTTCTGATGGCTTTTCCTTGCAACCAGTCAAATTTAGGCATTTATTACCTCATGTCTAGACAATCATAGTAGACTTCTAACTACTTCCTCTGCCTCCATCTCCTTTCCCTGCCACCTTAATTTATTTTGAATTTATCCTCTTCCTATGTTACTTCAGTGATTATATTACTTTCATGCTAAAAGCAGAAACAAGCACCACCCCACTAGCTCCTTGACATGACTTTCAAGTCTTTGAAATTCAAATCCCAGTCTGAGAAGTGTCCTTTTCTTCAGAGTTTCTCAATGACCAAACTATTCTGATTCCCAAACTGATTACCTTTAAGTTTGTTTGTGCCTTCTTCTCTGGTTAGATCTCTATTCTTCCCCCTCTGCTTGATGGAAGATTAAGTTTAACTTTCAGTATAACTTTGTCTTGATCGTTTCTTTTTCCTTGAGACCATCTTCATTTCACCAGTGCCAGAGGTACCTCCATGTTTTAGCACTTGTAGACCATCTGTCACTTGTTGCCACAAGCTATAGTTATCTCTATATCTTATTATCCCCATTTATTTAGGAGGACTTCATATCCAGGTAAAATCTCTCATTAGATAAAATCTGTATGTTACCATGTTCTTATCACTATTCATAGGAGAGAAAGAAGAATCAGGCCCAATCAGCTATAAATGAAGACAGAAATTGAACCACTCATATGTCTACTCCCACTTAGCATCAGATTGATGGAGGCAATTTCTAGTTCTGTTTGAAATAGAAATCCAGCCATGGAAGAAGGTTCTATTGATTTTGTTTTCCAAGTAGTGACTATGTGTTTAAACTTAATTTATACATTGTTAAATGAGGGAGAAGTTAAAATGTCTACTTAAAGACATGCACATGATTGGTTTATTTATTAAAATAGATTTATTTTGATCAATGGTGAACTATGTTTTATAAGTCTAGCCAGCAATAAATAATAAATCAATAATAGTATTAAAAGTAAGCTTATTTTATCTCATCTTTTAATGCTTTTAATGTGTTACATTTTGATCAACATATATACAGTATTCTACACAGCCTATCTTGGAAACAAGTAATGTCCTGGAAAATGATAATGTCAAAAAACAGGTTTGGACATTTTTAGTAAAAAAATAACCAGAATGTAATCACAATATTCACAAAGTTTATGAGTCATCTAATCATCTAAGAAAAGAAAATGATGCAACTTGGGAAAATATGAAACTAAATGATAAAAATTACTTTAGTTCAATGAGTTGTTATTTATTTAAGTTGTATTTTATTTCTACAGATAATTTCTGACCCTAGACTTCGCTTTGAGTTAGCAATTCGAGAAGGGGGACTTCATAAAACATTATATGCCAAGGAGATGTTGCCAAAAATCAGACCTCAGAAACCTCCAAGGAAGGACATGGAGTCTACTGTATTTAAAATCTAGAGCCATATTCAAATTCCATTATATACAAATAAGACTTTTCTTTGACAACATTTATATGGACGACAATAATTACCACTTTGTAACATTTCTTAAATATAAGATGTAGAAATCATAGCATCTATTAAAATCTATTAAAATACCTTTGCCTTTCTTTTGTGATTTTTAAAATTTTATGCACTATTTCCTATATTTTTGTTATATTCAATATTACCAAATTCATCACAATTATGGAACTTAATTATGGGACATTTGGCATATATGCTGTCATTTAGTAAACTGCATTTTGCAAGTTGTGTTATCCCAAGAAAAGAATTTGAAGTAACCATTTACAAGAATTATAAATTATGTAGCTTCTACCTGCTAGCGTTCATTTCTGCTTTTTATTCCAGAATTTGACTTTTTAAATTATGGACACTTCATTACTGTTAATACTTCTATTATTTTTTGATTACTGTAAGAGGAGATTCAGCCTTTCTCTAAATTTAGAAACCAATTTGGTACACCATGTTTACTGCAAACCAGTCATCCAAACAATTTCATTTTGCAAATTAGCCCTTAAGAATAAATTAGAATTTAGAAATAACATTTCAAGCATGGGAATACCTATTTTAGTTTGGAAAAATGTATTTGGTTCTTTAGAAGGAACATTTAAATTTTTATGATATTTGGAATGCTATCAAAAGTTTTAAATTATTTAAGAAACACTTAGATGATCTTATAGAAAAGGAGAAGTTCAAATAAAACCAAGCATAAAATTTTGACTATTTCTAAAATGTGGTTATTCTACCAAGCAAAGCAGTGTTGTTAAGAATTGCCATGGTTACCTTAGGAAGACTTCCCTTTTTTCTCTCTCTATTGCCACTTCCTGCATTGCCTATCTACCTCTAGACCAGGATTGTAGTCTCCAGGCAGTTACAGGAATAATGTTAAAAAAAAAAAAAGCAGACACAAACCAGTCTGACTGGTGAACTCTATCTTCATGACTGTCACCAACATCATGAAAATAAGTAAAACAAGTCCAACCTGTAAAAATAAGCCTTCACAAGAGATTCTATGGGAAAACCCTTTTCCACATTTCACCATTCATCCTAATACCCTCTCAGTTCAGCCTTTTGACTTACATTACCATAACATCTCTTAAAAAGAGACAAAAGAGTCTTTAAGAACAAGCAGGAGGTAGTGGGCATTGGTGGTTATTTTGAAGGTGTCTCTCAGGGTCATAATGTTCTTTTATGGACATCTCACCATAAATCCTTGGAAGCTCTGCTATGTCAGAGCACATCCTGTCCAAATAGCAAGATAAGGACTCCTTCAGAGTCTGTGGGTCCTTACTCAACATCCATACGATGTCCAGGGGATCACAGTCCAATTAAATATCAACCCATTTACACTTTCCTAATAGTCAAAGACTAGTAGCTGATGATAGCACATTAGGAGGAGGCACTGCCATTCTGAGAGGAATGAAGGGTTGATATGCTGTGGTTTTGATGACAACATGAGTTGACTTTTGGGCAGTGGTCTAGTCATTGCCTGTTCTCAGACTCTCACCCTAATATAATTAATAATATTAATTGTTATCACTCATTGAACACAAACTATGCTCAGCAATAATAAGTGTTTTCTGTGTGATATTTGATCATCATAATGACCTCATGAGATTGTCATTCCTATTTTACAGATAAGGAAATAGTTTCAGAAAAATAAAATACTATGCTCTAGATCTGTTGTTTTCAAACTGTGACAGTAAGTTAATTTAGTGAATCCTGGTCAGCATTTTTTAAGTGAAACAAAATAAACTGAATAATCTGTATGAAAATACAGGAATAATCTTTAAAATTCCCAATGAAATACCAATGCATGCCCACCAGACTGGTAATAATACCAATCTCACAATGTCGAGTACTAATAGAACATCAGGAGACATGCATTTAATGTAAACTGGAAGAATTCAGACTTACCTGGTAAGGTTGAAAGTGTTCATACCCTTCAATCCAGTAAATCTGTTCCTAGATATAGGTTATTGGGTAGCCCTGCTTGTATGTGTGAGAAGACATAAACTAGAATTCCCAAATGAGCATAAGCCAAATGTCCATCAATAGTAGAGTGGGTATTAAAATTGTATGTTCATTTATGGAATTGTACATCACAATGAAAATGGAAAAATATATCAACATGAATATAATATTTAGTTAAAGGATCCAGGTACAAAAGCAAAGATGTTGTTTTATTTCATTTATCTAAAGTACAGAATTATGTCAAACTAACCTATATAGCTCAGGGGTACATAGATGATAAAACAATGAAAGATTAAAAATGAAATCAAGGTGATGATTACTTCTATGGGATAGGGAAACAGATGGAGGTGAGGACTTCCAACATCCTGAAAATGTTTTATTGCTTAACCAGGGTAGTGATTATGTAATGCTTCTAATCATTTTCCAAAGTGCATGTGTTTTATATACTATCATAATTGAATGCAATAAATTCCCAATAAAATGAACAAATAATATTTACAAAGCACAATGTCTTAGTATACAAGTGTAACTGAAATAATCTTTTTAGTTAATTTTTGACTTAATGTCTCTAATGTACATGAATTTTTGAGGTGGAAGACCTGTTTCTGCTTGGAAGTCATGTTCACCTTGGCATACCATAGAATTTCTTTTATTTTCTTCCTTCCCATTTTAGAAATTTGCTTCCCTTTGACTCTTCTCAGTCTAGTTTGCCTGGCTGGCTTGAAAAAAAAAAGAAAAGAGTACATACCTAATAAGGCTAAGAATTGTGCATAAAAATGTGATTTCTGTCATCCTGTGTGCATATGTGTGTGTACTGGTCAGAACAAAAATGCATTTCTTGGTGGGTAATGGTCCAAAAATAATTGAAAACCACTATTTTCAATTCCATGGTTAATAATGGTAAAGCTTTTGCAATTCCACTCATTGAGGATGAAGGTCTTGTCTCAAACTGGAAGAAAGTTATGTTATCTGGTCTGGTGGGAATTCCCTTCCCTTCCCACTACCAAATCTTCAAACACAACCAAGCCTGTATTTCCCTTCTGCTTCTACCTGATAACACCATTTCCATGCGTTTGGTTTCATTCCCTCTCAACTCTGCAAGAATTTCATTTTTATTTATTCTCTCTCTCCTACATCTTCAACCCTTCTTCAGCATACAAATATGTTAGAATAAACCCCAACTTTTAAGAAAACCCCCTTAACCTCACATTGTCCTCTAACTACCCAGCTATTTCTCAAGAAAATTTCTTGAAGAGAATTTCTCCTCTTCTCAAAAAAATTCTTCAGAGTTGCTTCTGAGGTTGTCTCTACCTCTGATGTTCCAGTTCCCATCACTCACTCTGATTTGACTTTGCCCTCCCCTCCCATCCTCCTTCTTAGCAAGGTCACCAGCAAATTCCATAATGGCAGATGACTGCTTTTCAGTCCTGATCTTACCGACTGTGACAGCACTTGATGCAGATGACAGTTGCCCCATCTTGGAACATGTTCTTCTTTGGTTTCTACGATATCATGTGCTTTATCTCCTGTTTCTTTGGTCATGCCTTGGTCTTTACAGACTCCTCCACCTCCACCCACTACTAGGTGTGGAAATGCTCCAGGATTACATTTTTAAGCTCTCTGTCTCACTATTGGTGTCACCCAAGGGGACATTCTTAAACATTACAATTTTAGCTTTTAAATGAAGTCATTTGAGTGTCTTTTAATCTACAGACTTCTCCCTCCATTATCTTTCATCCCTTTCAATTTACTTATTGAACAAATTACATGTAGAATTTCCAATACTGGATTTTGACTACTTTATCTTCTTGGTGAAATTTAATGTGTTCCTCTGTGTTCTCTGTCCCTTGTATTTGCCATAAGTTTTTAGTTCAGTCTAGAGGCTTTATCACATAAAAGATTCAGATTCTTTTTTTTTTTGTCTTCACCAAGACCACATCATTGTGATTGTGGTGTTGTTGCACTCTCTCACATGCATTGCCTAGTTGAAACTTTGGATGCTTTTTGAAATTTTTGTTGCTGCTAATTCTCATCTTTAGATCCATTAATTCATTGTTGATCACATGACAAATATACTCTAATTCAATCACTCCTTGTTCCTTTCTTTCCTGAGACACTTAAATGAAGTTTTTCCTCTTCTGGTGATATAAGAGAGGTAGTCAAAATGTTTATTTCTGTTTTTTCAAAATAATGAGCTGGTTTTCTTTTTTTTTTTTTTTTTTTAAGGGGAGAGCGCGAACGCAGTCCCCCACTACCACAAATTATGCAGTCGAGTTTCCCACATTTGGGGAAATCGCAGGGGTCAGCACATCCGGAGTGCAATGGATAAGCCTCGCCCTGGGAAAACCACCTTCGTGATCATGGTATCTCCCCTGCCAGGTAAGTATGATGAGCTGGTTTTCTGACATCCTCCCTGGGTGATCAATTTTGTTGTGCCTCTGAGAAGTCATGGATTTTAATGTAAGTGATCTTTCAATCTATAAAAGGAAGAATTATTTATTTATTTATTTTTTAGTACTGGTGTTTGAACTCAAGGCCTTGAGCTTGCTAGGCAGGTGCTCTATCATTTGAACTATGTGGCCCCCAGCTAAATTATTCTTATTGATGCTGCTCAAATTATCCCCTTCTTACCCAATGGCTTAGCAGTTATATGTAGATAACCCAATAAATTAAGTAGATATTAATCTTCCTTGTTATTCCAGTTATCCATATGGTTTGGGCTTCTCATAGAGCAGTAACTGGGTTCTAAGGTGATACTTTCCAAGAGCAAACATACTAAAAGACAGAAAGTGCCAGCTTGCCTGTTACAACCTGTTGGAACTGGTCAGTGTCTCTTTGTATTCATCAAAGCAATCCTAGAGCTCTCCCAGATTCAAAGGGTTGAGAACTGAGCTCCACTTATTGATGGTGTGTGGCAATGGTAAGCTCACATTGTAGAAGAGTTATGTGAAATTGGAGATATTTTTGTATCCATCTTTGAAAATCTGTTACATTTGTTATCTGGCATGACAACATCTCCAAATTCATTTTATTTATTTTCTGCTCTGACCTTGAATCAGTCTTTTCTCTAAAAAGCTCTGATTCCTTTTGATGGAAAATAGTATTTCAAGACCTAAATTGGGATGCTAAAGATACACAGTGCGCCTGGCTTGGCCTGATAACCTTTTCAATGAGCATTGCTAGACTATATACCCACATATACATACCCATATATTTTCATAACACATGCATACATACAGGATAGCCTCCCCACATGAATTGTTTATTTTGTCATTATTGTCTTTGAGCTGTAGGAGATCTTATATATTCTGGAGATTGAGCCTTTATCAGATAAATGATCTGTAAAAATTTTCTCCAATTCCTTTAGTTCCTTTTTTGCCCTATTGTTAATACCCTGTGATGTACAAAAGTTTTTGATTTTGATAAAGTCCAGGGTATTTATTCATTTTGTTTGCATATACAAGAAATCATAGCATATCTAGTGTCCTGAAACTTTTCTAATATGTTTTCTTCTAAGAGTTTTTTAGTTTTAGCACTATATTTAGTTTTTTGGTCTGTTGGTTAGTTAATTTTTGTATATGGTATAATGGTCCAATTTAATTGTGCATGTGAGTATCCAGTTTTCCCAGTAAGATTTGTTGAAAAAACTATCCTTTCCTCATTGAATAATCTTGGCTGTCTTGTCAAAAATCATCTGATCATATACATGCAAACTTATTGCCAGGATCTCTATTCTATTCCATTG